TCCCCCTTCCTTCCCCTCTAAAAATAAATAAATAAAATCTTTAAAAAAAAAGAAACAATAAATGAGACCACTTCAGCTGGCACTAAGAATTATGGACACAATAGCACTAGGTAACATGGTAGAAAGTGACGCAGGTGGGAGGTGGTCACACACAGGCTCAAAGCTGTTGCACTCAAGGAAGAGCACCCAGGCAGAGGGAGGAGCTAATGCCCAGGCCTGGCACAGGTCAAGAGCGAGGAGCAAGGGCATGAGTGAGGGGACGCGGCAGGGCGGGGGGTGGAGGCAGGTGGGAGAGGCCTGCAGGGACAGATCACTTGGGGTGCCGTACGCCAGGTGAGACTCTCAAAAGTCATTATAAACTTGATTGGTAGCTTTTGGAGGACTGAAACTAGAAAAGTGGCATGATCCAGTTGATATTTTAAAACTATCCCTCTGACCGCTCATGGAGAATGCATTTCGGAAGAGGGGAGGAGACTGGAGAGGGGGCTCCTGCAGACGTGCAGGGGGAGAGGTGGTGGCGGGGGCTAGGATGCGCAGCAGGTAGGGTAGTGAACGACTAGATTGAGGCTGCGGTTTGGGCTGAGAGCTGCCAATAAGGTGCAACACAACCAGCCCCCACCTTGGACAGTACATCCACGAGGCCGCCAAAGGGCCAGGTCCCATGTCTCGGGGGACACCGAGATTCCTGAGGGCAGCCTTCGGAGCCCCTCCATTGCGGTTTTTAGGACGTTTTTTGTTTTGAATCATAAAACATGGCAACGTGCAGAAAACAATGTAACAGATGCACACCCCTCTTACGATTAAACAGTGTTAACATTGTACCACGTTGACACCAGAGCCCTCTCTTTCTAACAAGGAAAATAAATGAAACACTAGATACCGCTCAACACCCCTTGCTTCCCTACCTTCGTTCTGCAGAGGAGTTTGAGCTACAACAGGCGTTTATCTGTCCCGGGCATATACTGCCATTTTCTAGTTCTGCATTCAAACCCTGTAATTCTGTTGTTAAATATACTTTAAAAGTTTAAATAAATTATATGATACTGCACATATTCCTCTGTCATTTATTTTTTCACACCATATTATGTTCTGGAGACTTATCCATACTGGTGCATGCTGATCGAATTCGTTCATCTTAACTGTAATAGACGATTTCATTGTACTTATAAAGCAGCTTATTTCCCTGTTTGCCTGCTGAGAGGGAGTTAGGCTGCTCCTCATTTTTCTATTATGGACGAAGGTGCAATGAATACCCTCAGACGTGCATTCTTTTGCCTGGGAGCATAAAATAGGATGCGTACAGAACACTGCAGGTGCCTTAACCAGGCTCCTTTGACCCGCTGGTACGCTCATTCCTCAGCTGCTACTGGCTGCTAAGGCTTCATAGCTGCTGTCGTCTTGGGAACCCCCTCTCCGGGGAAGTTATACCACCTCCCCTGCACCATGGGGCAGCACCCAGGCAGTGACTGATGAAAGGGGGGTACCGAAAACTGGCCCCTTGCCTCAAGACGGATCGACTCTGTGGTGTTATTAATGCTCCAGACCTCCCTGCGGCATCAGAGTGGAGCTAATCTCCCACGGAGAACACATAATTGCTTAGCTTTTCCTCCCACCCTAGCTGCCTTCCCCTGGCTCCTCATCTGAGAGGTCTCCCTCAATAAATCACCTGCACAAGAATCCCAGGCACCGGGAGGGAACCTAACCTGAGACAGGCACTGACTAAGGTGTAGCTGCTGGGTCTTAGGTTTGCTCGTCTTAAAGTTCACTGTTTCCCAGCTGCTCTCTCCAGAGCAGTTGTACCAGTTTGCATTCCCACCAGCAGTGTGCAGGCATTGCTGTTCCCTTCCCCTGCTTTCATCACTACTAGTGTCAGAGACTAATTTTGCCAACCAGATTGGTGTCACGTGCTAGTTCGTTGTTGTTTTAACTTGCATTTCCGTGTCTACTAGTGATGTTGAGGATCTTTTCATACCTTTATTGGCCGTTCGTATTTCTTCCTCTGTCACTTGTCTGTTCATATCTTTTTCCCATTTTCCTATTGCTTTGCAATCTCTTGGTAAATTGATTCTCTGGAGTTGTAATTTTATTTTGAAAACGAATTCTCTGTCGGTTGGTAATAAGGTTGCAAATACATGTATCTTTTCTCCATTGTGACTAACAAATTATTTTTTTGTTATGTAGAGGCTTTTATTTTAATGAAGGTTTATTATGGTTTTTTCTTATCATTCGTGTTTATTTTCTTTTTAAAAAAAGACTTTATTTATTTATGTTTAGAGAGAAGGGAAGGGAGGGAGGAAAAGAGGGAGAGAAACATCAATTAGTTGCCTCTCGCATGCCCCCTACTGGGGACCTGGCCTGCAACCCAGGCCTGTGCCCTGACTGGGAATTGAAACTGTGACCTTTTGGTTCGCAGGCTGATGCTCAATCCACTGAGCCACACCAGCCAGGGCTATTCATTTTCTGATAAAGTTATTTTCCTGTTTTTTTTTCTTTTAAACATTTTACAGTTTGCTTTTTTACATTTAGGACCTTGATCACTGGGAACTTATTTTGTAAGCCGTGTGAGTCGGGATCTAATTTTATCTTTTTCCAGGGGGATATTTAATTGTCCTAACATCCCCCATTATGCCTTGTCATGTTTCAAACTCCTGTGTATATTTGGATCTGTTCCTAGGCATGTTCTCCATTCTCTTTATCTGTTTCTCTCTTCCTGGGATCAAATCAAACTGTGTTCATTATTAGAGCTTTATGGTAATTATCAACATCTGGCGGGGCGAGGCTCCCTTCCACGCCCCTCCCCCTTCTTCTTCAAACCGATCCTGGCTACTCCCCATTCCATTGTCCCATATACAGTGTGGGATGATCTCATCCAGTTGCAGAGAAAACTCTGCTGCAAATTTTATTTGAAATAGAATCTATAGATGAGGGAGGGGCTAGGCAACTTCGTGACAGGGAGACTTCCCGTCTGCAAACAGGATTTGTTGTCCCTCCACGAGTGTTCTTCCTCTGCGCTGCATTCTGTCCTCTCCTGGGGGCTTCCTAGGGGATGAACCTCCAAATCCTTCTCATCCTTCAATGCCCGTCTGAATGCCTCCTCCAGGAAGTCTTTGGAGACAGCGCCGGCCTTGCGGACTCCGACCGTCCTCTCACCCTTCTGTGTGCCCCATTTCCTGGCCACTTAGCACATGGGTCTGACTGAGGGAGGCAATTTGCACACTCTGTATGCTCACCTGGTCTCAGCCTCTGAAGAGACGGGGCTGTATCACCTCTATGTTTGTATCCCCAGTGGCACCCAGCATGTAGTAGGTGCATTATAGGCTCTGATGACTGGTCCTTAGGGAAGAGAAGTGTGTAGTAACAGCTTCTTCCTCCATGGGGAGGGTCCTGGAATAGAGTTTGGAGTTTCGGGGGCAAACACACCTGACTTGAAATCAGACAGACTTGGCTTTATGGGGCGGTGTGCTTCAGGGGACGGTGGCCTCTCTGAGCACGCGTGTGCCCGTCTGCAGGTGGAGACAATACTACCAACCTCACAGGGCTGTTGGGATTATCACTGAGGTTGCAGGAACACACAAAGGTGTTTTCTCCCTGTCCCGCTTTCCCAGCTTGAGAGAGGTGCGGAAGGAAAGATCTTTCTGTCAGCTGGAAAGGCTGCTGGAGTCATTCACTTGTTCATCAAGAAGACCCCGGGGGCATGGCCCCCAAATGCCTGAGTCCCTGATGCAAGTGGACAGAGTTGGACTCTGTCCCCTTCCCTTGTCCAGGCTCTGATGCCACCACCCTGGCTGCTGTGCCGTCCCCTCTCTCCTGGAGCAGAGGCGAGTCCTTGACTATGGAACAGCCGCACATCCCACCTTCCTACCCTGCCCCATAGCACCCATGTCTCTCAGTGCACCCCTGGGTCCCAAGGAAGCCGTTCCCATGAAATGCTTGTCCCTCCTCTGAGGGGCACCTTTCCTCCCCAGGAGAGCCCAGGGCCGGGGCCGTGTCCAGCCACTAGGGGGCGTGCTCCCAGTGAAGCACTGTCTGCACATCTCTGAAGAGAGAATATGGGGCTGATGGGAGTGTTTCCTGGTGGGACATGGGCTCGGGCTGGGCAAACCTGGGCTCTGACTCAGAACTTGACGTTGGGCAAGTTGACCTCCACGAGACGCAGCCTCTCCACATATAAACTGGGTGCACGAATCTCACCTCCTGGGAGAGACGGGAAGACCAGAAGGAGGAAATGCCCGGGCTGTGTAAGGCAGGGGGGTGCACAGCAAAAGGTTGCCCCTTCCTTACCAGGTGTCAAGGTTGTATGGATGGAAAAAAATGGGGGATACAGGCAAAGATGAGGCAGAATTTATTCTCGTTGTGGGCAAGTTCAAGACTCACGATGGAGACCACAGAGAAACAGATCCCTGGGACCCTGGGGGGCACCTCACGCCGAGGGCGGGGGCACACTGTTGCAAGCGCCTGCCCCACTGCGTCCCCACTGAGCGTGAGGATCCAGAGCCCAGGAGCTGGGTGAGAGTGGGGTGCGGGTGGGAGGAAGACAGGGTCCTCCCCAGACCGTGTCCTGACCGTGTCTCTGACTTCCATAGGAAGGAAGAACAGCTCAGCTATATAGTAACACATAGAGGTGTAGAGAGCTGGCTGCGGCACCTGGGGGGGCTGACTCCCCGAATTATTGCAGGAGGGAGAGGGGCTCAGTGCTGGTGTCTCCGAGGAACAGCTCTGCTGGCTGCAGGGAGGGCTGGGCAGGGGCTGGGGGCTGGGCCTGCCCTCCCTGGAGGCCAGCAGGGGCCTGGCATCCTGCCCACTGGGGTTCCTCGGAGCCCTGCCAGCTTCCCCTGGGCTGGAGCTTTCTCACCCTGGGTGCTTCTTATGTGCTTTGAAGACCATTTTTGCATTGTCAGGAATGAGGAAAAAATATTCTGACATGGTAGAAAAAAGATATTTACATACCCTGGTGGGCCGTAAGGGAGAGGGTCAGTCTCTGACGGCTCGGGGCGGGGGGGGGGTCGGAAGCCCCCTCCCACGCACAGCTGTTCTGGTGGGAGGGTGTAGGGGAAAAGCCCTGGGAGGAGGTGTGGCTCAGAAACTTGGCTGCTCTGTGACCTTGGACAAGACACGCTCACTCCCTGGGGGTGCCCCGGTGGTGCAGGAGCGGTGCTTGGGGCTCCAAAGCTCTAGGATCGTATGGTCCCTGATTCCAGGCGTGGGGCTGGGGGGCGGTGAGGGGGGCAGGGGGACTCACAAGAAAGGAGCCCTGGGCTGAGGGGGACATCAGAGACGAGAGGGAATTTGGTGGCTCCGGGCCCCTAGCCAGGCAGCCAAGTCCAGCTGCGGGCATCTCATGTACCCTGCGGTGATGCCCACGCAGAGGTGGCCAGGGGCGCTGGCCGGGAACCCTGTTTTCCCGTTGAAGCAGTGGTGGAAGCCAGGTGGAGGCTGCAGGTGGCCCCCACCGGCTGGAGGGAGGGCTGGGACCTGAGATAGAGCCGGGAGTGGGCTCCCCCGGGGTGGGGACAAGGGCGGGTCTGGTGCTGGTGTGGGGTCAGAGGCGGCCTTTGGCTCCGGCCTCCAGGCCAGGGGGAGGTGGGTCTGAGCCTCGCTTCAGTCCCTGCGGGTGCTGGGGCCTGGGCCCGTGTTCCGCAGGCAGTGTCACACCAGGGTCTCCGCTCACAGGCTTGTGACACCATCCTCACCCACGACATGCCACCTGCAGTCACGTGTACTCGTGTCCCTGTCTTAGTGGATGAGCCCTCATGCCCTAGCTGACACGTCCACTCTGGGACCCGGTGGGTGGACACACACACACGTGGTCCCATGGCCTTGTGAGAAAACACAGGAGCACACGTGTGTGCACACAGGCTCACACACACAGAGGCAGGTGACTGATGTCTCCGTTGGGCTCAGTGGCGTTGAGGCCCCTGTCCTGGGCCAGGGGTCCCAGCCATGCTGGGCACCAAAGGTCCCTCTGCAGGTGGCCTGACCCCGACGATTCTAGGCCCTGGGGGGCAGTCCTCGGCCTCGTGGGTGTCCGACGGGAAGGCAGCCAAGGAGCAGGAGCAGAAGCCTGGGGCTGCCCGGACCACCGGCCACCCCTGCAAGTCCTCCGACAGCTGGCAGGACCCAGGGCTGGCGTGCATTGGTCAGAGGTGCCGGCGGGGCCCCTGGGTGCTGGTGAGCTGGGTCCTCATGGTCTGGATGCTGCCCAGGATCTTCTTCTGGTGGCCCATGAGGGTGATGCCGAGGGCACGCACGTCCCTGTGAAAAGAGGGCGGTGTTGGCCTGACTGGCCTGGGGGGCTGAGGGCCATGGGGACAGGGACACGCTGAACCCCTGGAGCCACCGCTGGCCCTCTGCCCTCTCCCCCGCCCAGCCCCCATGGGACCACCACTTACTGGGCGTTCATTCGAAGCACCATGCCCAGAGACGAGTAACCACCTGCAGCGAAGTGGTCCCGGTAGCGGCCCATGCGGATGGAGTCCAGCCAGTCCCCCACGGTGAGGCCGCCACTGCCACCCCCGCTCCCCCGGAGGTCAAAGCAGCTCTGGGCAAAGGCGGGGGCTGGACACCTGAAGCACAGGGGCCTTGGTAAGTGGCCTGCCAGGACCTCTGCCTTCTTCGAGGACCCTGCCATTAGCCTCCCTCGGCCTCCATCCAGGCTCAGTGGTGGGCAAAGGGTTTGAGGGGCCAGACCCCAGGCTCGAAAGGAGAGGGCCGAGGAAGGCCCCGGCAGAACAGGGGTCAGGGTCCAGGCTGGGTCTGGCCCAGGGGTCAGGGCAAGGCTGTCCTAGGGTTGGGGCTGAGTCAGGGCAATGCCAGGAGGGCAGCCGGGCCGGCTGGGGCAGAGCTGGGGTGGGGGCCGGGCACCTGCTGACAGTGGCCGTGGCCCGGAGACTCTCAGGGTTGCAGGTCAGCGCGTCAAGGATGCTGACAATCTGGGAAAAGCGAGGCCGCTGAGCCCGGTCCTTGTGCCAGCAGTCGAGCATGAGCTGGTGCAGGGCGCGGGGGCAGCCCATGGGCGCCGGCAGGCGGTACCCCTCCTCCACGGAGCTGATGACCTGGGGAGGGAGCGAGGTGCCGGGCTCGAGGCTGGCCCGCCCTCCGAGGCCCCCCACCGCCTCTGCCCGGCCACGGCCCCACACTCACGTCACGGTTGGTCATGTTCCAGTAGGGCCTCTCCCCGTAGGCCAGCACCTCCCACATGACCACGCCAAAGCTCCACACGTCACTGGCCGAGGAGAAGGTCCGGAAGGCGATGGCCTCAGGGGCCGTCCAGCGGATGGGGATCTTCCCTCCCTGCGAGGGACACGGGGATGTTGAGCACCTGTCCTCAGCCTGAGCCGGGGAGCTGGACACGGCACCTGTTTCCCAGGCTGAGGGCCCTCCCCACCGGGTCCCACTGAGGAGTCCAGTGGGGGAGGCGGGGCCAGCAGCCTGGGGAGGGGGCTGATCAGGGGGCCCCACACAGGCAGCTGCTGTGAAAACTGAATGAAGGGGAGTGTGTGAGTGCGTGGCATGTCATAGACTCTCAGTAAACACCAGTCGAGGGGTCAGTGCCTGGACAAGGTGCGAAGCTGAGGTCATGGCTGGGTGGGTACCCCTCCCCTTCCTCCTCCTCTCATTTCTCCTCTTCTCTCTCTTTTTTTTTGGGGGGGGTGGTAGGGGGCGTCACAGATCTTTCCGGTAAGCGGAATCTTATTCAGAGGCCCCGTGGGGCAGAGGCGAAGCGAGGGCTCTGACGGAGGAGGCAGGGCTGGGGGCCGAGCCCCACCGCTCAGCCTCCGCCTGCAGGGCGGCCCCGGAGGCCCCTGCAGGGATGCCCAGATCTCCACGAGGTGCATTTTGAAAATGCTCGTATGCAGCCACACTTTAGAGACAGATGTGGAGTGGATGTGTTTCAGAGAGATGCTGACTTTCCCCGAATCTCCAGGGGAGCGGTCGTGGGGACCAGCCCTGGGTCCAGGGCCATCTGGCGATAGAGGGAAGGGAGGCAAGGCTGCTTACCTTTCCCAGAAGGAGAAAGGGGGGGTGCGGAGCAGAGGCAGGACTTGCCTCAGGCAGAAGGCAACCCAGAAATTGGCCACTTGGCCGAACGACAGGTGGGGGGAAGGTCACTCTCTGTGCCGCCTTGCCCCTCCCTGGGCCTGTCAGGGAGAGTGGGCCGAGTACCGTGGTGGTGTAGGCGCCGTTGGGGTCGTCCTCCAGCACCCGAGAGAGCCCGAAGTCAGACACTTTGCAGACCAGGTTGCCGTCAACCAGGACGTTGCGGGCGGCCAGGTCTCGGTGGACGTAGCCCAGGTCTGAGAGGTAGCGCATGCCGGCGCCCACGCCCCTGAGCATGCCCACCAGCTGCGTGATGGTGAACTGCCCGTCGTGAGTCTGCAGGGGGTGGCGGGGGGAGGAAACAGTTCGGGCTGCAGGGAGGCTCTTTGCAGTCTGCAAAGTGCTTCGCTGCTTGGGAAGCCTGGGACAGGTTCCCACTCTCAGCAACCCCGAGAGGGAGGTGGGGCAGCGAGCATGGAGCATCCACTTCATGGAAGAAGTGAAGGCCCAGAGAGGTTAAGACCTGGACCTCAGAGTGCCCAGCAAATAAACAGCAGGGAGGGCTGGGAATCTACGGGGTTCCGGGACACCTGCCATGCCTCCCGCCTGGGCGGGTTCTCTGCACCTGTGGCAGCGTGACAGCGCCCCGTGTAACACGGGACACGTGATGGGGCTAAAGGCCGTCTGACTGGCGACTGTTAAGACTCTGTGCCTGGTTCCCCTCCCCCAGGGCTGCAGGGTCCAGGCTCCGGGGTGGGGAGAGGGGGGTTGCAGGCCTCACATCACCTCCCCACACCCAGGCTGCCCTTCCCTCCCCCAGCCCGCGGGGACGCTGAAGGGGCACGCACCCTCAGGAAGGTGTCCAGAGAGCCGTTCTCCATGTACTCGGTCACGATCATCGCCAGGCGGCCTGGGGAAGCGGGTGGGGAGGTGGTGGCTCTTGGTGGGGGGGCCGGGGCTGCTGATCAGACACCCCGGGAGCACGTCCCCCACCAGGGGCTGGGCCAGCACAGAGGGCCCAGGGAGCCTGGGGCTCCCGCTGGGGTGGCTCTGGGCGCCCTTCCCGACCGATTCACCCGGGGACTGAGCCAGGGCACAGGCAGAGCAGGGGGGACAGACCCAGAGCCCTGTCCTGGGCAACAGGGGCCCTGCAGGGTGAGGCTGCCTTGCCTGGAACCTACCTCGCGTGACGACGCCTTCCAGGCGGATGATGTTGGGGTGGTCAAACTGACCCATGATGGACGCCTCACTGAGGAAGTCCTGCCGCTGTCTCTCCGTGTAGCCGGCTTTGAGGGCCTTGATGGCCACGGGCACGTCCCGCTGCCCCGGCACCCGCAGCCGCCCGTAGCAGACTTCCCCCGACTCTCCTGCGGACCCCGGGTGGGGCAGGCATGGGGTGGGCAGTGGGACCCTCCTCCGTCAGCCCAGGGTCCCCCACCCCACACTCCCCCAGGGCCACACACCGGAGTGCCCCCGTGGGCCAGCCACACCAGGCCCCTCGGTCTCCCTCTCCCTCTGCCCTGGGTGCCCCTCTGTGGTGTTCCCACCCTCATGACCCTCAGGCTCACCGGAGCCGATGATTTTTTCGATGTGGATCCTAGAGGCCTCAATCTCTCGGGTGAAACCACGGCCCACCAGGGCCGGCTCCTCGTAGGTGTGGGGTTCTGCATAGAACTGGGGCTCCAGCATCTTCCCCGGGGGGTGGTGCAGGGGCAGGAAGACAGGTGGAGGTGCTGAGGGGCCACAGCAGAAGGGCCTTCAGCGGGGTCCAGGAGGACTTTCCCTCCCAGCATCCCATGGGCCTGGGCAGGTCTGGGGGCAGGCAGGGTGAAGAGCCTCTCTGGGCATCTCAGGATGTGGTGGCAAACACTGGGTGCACAATAAGTGCTTGCCGTGTGATAGGGTGTGGTGGCAAATACTGGGTGCACAATAAGTGCTTGCCGTGTGAAAGAAAGCAGGGTCTCTGTGGAGTGGCTCTGGAGTCTCCAGAGGCCTTTGGCGTCTCCAGTGAGTTTGGAGCATGCCTATCACTTTACGGGGTCGCTTCCAGAGTCCTAAGGTCGTTCTAGATAGTTCTGGGGTAGGGATGTAGCGAAAGGATTTCATGGCAAGTGCCAGCTTACCCGCATTTTTTGGGCCATAAGACACACCTAGGTTTTTGAGGAAAATAGGAAAAAACATTTTGAAGCAAAAAATGTATTAAAATATTTAATAACATAAATAACATAAGATTTCACCACTGTAAATGTAAACAGAACTCAACAGCAGCATTAACAACCATTACTCCTCCCAAGTTTGGGAGGGAAAAGTGCATCTTATAGTCCAAAATATACGGTAGGTTGGTTGAGAGCCGTTTTCTAGACAACAGTGTTAAGAAGGATTCTGAGGCTGCCGCATTCAGGCTCAATGGGAACCGGTACCGTGATTGACACAAACATATAGATGGGCCCAAAAAAGCGGGAGATGGAGGAGGGCACCCCCATATTTGCCTTGTTTTCTGGGGTCTCTGCAGAGTCCTGAAAAAACTCTTTCTAGCAGGGGGTCTTGTCCAAGAACATGGGAACCTCCCGAAAATCGGACGCAAAATTGTGGGCGAGCACACATGTCTGTGCATGTCCCTGGGAAGAGGGGCCCTGGCATCCTCAGTGGGGTCTGCGGGCCCACGAAAGGGGAAGAGGGCGGCACCCTCGGGCTCTGGTCTTTCCTGAGGGCACCTTTTCCCTCCCACTCCCAGACCAGCACTGGTGCCCATGCCCCCAGCCCCGTGACCTCCTCGCTGCCCTCTGAACCCAGGGCCCCTGCACTCACCCTGCCCGTTCTGATAGTGCATCTTCTCCTCATCCGAGTCCTGGAAGGCCTTGCTGTAGCCGCAGTGACTGCGAGGACGGAGGACGGCACGCTCAGCCCGAGGCCACACCGCCCTGGGCCCAGCCCCGACCCCATTCAGGGAAAAGCCAGGACTCATCCCCCTCCTCCCCTGCCCCTTTCAGGGCAGCACCCGGCACCCCAGCCCCTGTCCCTGCTGGGGGGAGCCCCCACCCTCAGGCTCTCCATTCAGCTGGACGGTGACATCCGGATGTTTATGAACCCTTCATAATTTGCAAAGTGGAGTCCACTTGCCCTTCCTGGCAAATTCTGCGGGTGTTAGGCAGATTTTATATGAAACTGTCCCTGGTGGGGGCTGAGAGACGAGGCTTCCAAGGCCAGCTCTGCTGTGTGGTCTTGGCAAGCTCCTTCCCTCCCCCGGGCCTCAGTGTCTCCCCCTGTTGGACCAGCCTTCGGCTTCTCACTGCCTGGGACCCTCAGCAGAGCTCGCATGGGAGCTCGCTGTCCCCGCTCCTCCCCCGCTGGAATGGAGGGGGACACGGGACAGTGACTGGGAACAGCTGTTTGCTTCGACACACACTGGGTTCAAGTCCCAGCTCTGGCGTCTGTCTGGCCGGCGGCCTGACCTCTCTGGTCTCCAACTCACTCACCTGCGAAACAAGGCCAGAGCCCCTACCTCGCCGGACCAGCACTGGGGTTAAAGGAGATGGAGGTGGGTGTGGGAGGGGCACCCGGTGGGACTGGCTGTGGGTGGACGTGTAGGTGGAGGATGACAACTGGGGTTGGGGCTTGGACGCCATCCTGTGGCATGAGCGGTGGTGCCACGCCCTACGATGGGGAGGCCCGCGGAGGTGCAGGTTGCGGGGGGCTTGTTTGCCTAAAACACACTCGAGTGGAGTGGCCCACCTGACCTCAGGGGAGAGGTCTGCACTGGTGATGGGAGTTGGGGGGTGTCAGCACGAGAGTGGAGGTCAAAGCCACGGGCCCTGATAACGTCACTCAGAAAAGATGGACCTGGGTCAACAGGAAAGAGGGAAGGGCCTGGGATGAGCCCCGGGTCCCCCAGCCTTTAGAAGTTGTTTGGAGGAAAGGGGCTGGCGGGGATGGAGGATATGGAGACATGGTCAAAAATGGGGGGTGGGCCAGGGCATGGGAGGCAAGAGAGAAGTGTCCTTTCAAGAAGGAGGAAAGAAGAACAGGTGCATCTGTAAGTGAGCCCAGACCCGGGCACAGGCTGGAGACACGGCGCCCCAGGGAGGGGCCTGGGGGCCGAGGGCCCAGGGCCACCCACCGCTTCTTGCAGATGAGCAGGAGCAGAAGCACAACCAGGCCGGTGATGAGTGTCAGGCAGATCCACACGATGGTCCTGGTGTCGTAGCGCGGCCCTGCTGGGGAACCGGGGAGGTGGGGCTGCCTCTCAGCCTTGGTGTCGGCCTGGGGCTCGGCGGCCCTCCCTGGCCCGGTGGGCAGCCCCCTCCACGGTGAGTCAGCCCCAGGGCAGGACACAGGCCCCTGCTTCCTCTGCCCCGCCTCGCCTCTGCTAAGCTTCTCCTTCACAACCCCGCTGCCTGGGGCTTCCTGGCTCCCCAGCCCGGTGCCACCACTTCCTGGGGCTGTGTGACCTGGAAGGAGTCCCTAGACCTCTCTGAGCCTCAGCTATCTCATCTGTAACGTGAGTCAAAAAACGCCCGTGGAGGGCTGCACATTCCAGTCTCAGCCAACCATCCCGCGGCCCTTCCTGGGAGATACTGTCTTCCATTTTCAGAGAGAAAACTGAGGCTGTTCCTCGGAGCTGCACAGTAAATGGGATGCGGCGGGCAGGACTCCCGTCTGCAGTCTCAGCGTGGCGCCGGCCCGAGGGGCACTTCAGATGCACGAGTACCGAGGGAGTGCGGGCGAGCAGGGTCCTCCCTCAGCCTCGAGCCTCTCCATCGTGGCGCCGCCCCCTGGAGGGTGCCCGAGTGCAGGAAAAGACCCTGGCTGGCTGGAGATGGGGTGTGGGGGGCTCAGGCCTGAACGTGCCTTAGAACCACCCCGCGGGCTCGATAGAACCCACTGATTGTGAGAATCAGCGTCTCTGACAGCTCCCAGGCGCTGCTGATGGTGCTGGTCCCGGACTGCCCGTGAGGACCACTGCTCTGGCGCAGGAGGATACTGGGGAAGGGGCGCAGAATTTGTCCCCAAACCGGCCAGGTTCAAATCCTGCAGTGCTGGGTGACCTTGGGCAGGTCACTTCCCTGCTCTGACCCTCATTTTGCTTGTCTGTCAAATGGGGTGGGGATAACGCGCACTCCCCGGAGGGCCTCTGGGACCAGGGTAAGGTGGTTACCCTGCTACCAGGGGCATCACGGTGCCTGCAAGTCACACCGATGTTCAGCAAAAGCCCGTGTTCGTGGGCTGTTGCCAGCTCAGTTGCCTTGGGCAAGTCACTCTCCTTCTTTGAGCCTCAGTTATTTTTAGCTGTAAAAACGCTAGCCTAGCACAAGCACCTGCTCAGCAAGTTCCCTTCCTCCGACCGCAGGGCCTGGAGCCCGGCCTGGCCCCGCTCCCCTGCCCGCCCCGCTCCCTGCACTCACGGGGTTTCCCGGTCTCCACCTCCATGGCCTGGCTGAAGCGGCCGCAGCCTGCTGAGGTGCGGGCTCTGACCTGGAACACGTAGCGGGTACCCGGCTTGAGGCCCGAGACGGTGGCCTTGGTGGTGACGGCTTTGAGGGTGGAGTAGCTCTGCATCTCCTTGTCCTGTCCACAGGAGGGGCAGTCAGCCAAGGGAACCCCTGCCTGGTTCCCTTCCCCCCTTCCTCCCTGCCGGAGGGCCGGTACCTTCTCGTAGTACTTGATCTCGTACTCCAGGATGATGCCATTGGGCTGTTCAGGCTCCTGCCACAGCAGCGAGACGCTGGTCTGGCCTGCCCACTCCTGGCGGATCACCACCACCTGGGACGGGGCTAGGGAGGGAGGCAGCCTTGCTCAGGTGGATGGGTGACAATCCCCAGGGCTGGCCTCTGTCCCACCCCTTCCCAGGCCCTGCATGCTCAGCTTGCTGGCTGTCCTGCCTCTGCCCCAGGAGAGCCAGCCCCCTCCAGCCCTCCCGGCAAATCATAGGCTGCCACCTCTGGTCAGTCACCCAGGCTCTGCACAGCCTGCCTCTGGTCTGGGACGCTGGGCTTGGCTTGACCCAGACAGGGTCGAAGGGCCCCAGCTTCCACTGCCTCCTCCTCTCTGGCCAGCCCCCTCCACTGGGCATGCAGGACCCCACCACCTCAACAAGCAGCTGCTCCTGTCCACCCTGGGGCCCTGTCACCGATGTCTCTACCTCCAAGTCTCCCACCCCCAGCCCTCCGTGGGGCAGCTCTCAGGAGCTCGGGGAAGGAAGCAGGAGAGGAGAAGGAAGGGAGGCATGAATGGAGGGACTCGTGCCCTCATTGCTGGGTTTAGAGGTGTGACCGGGGGAGCTCCGATGATCAGGGACAGGATGGGAGCAGAGCCCGGCCCACCTGAGCTCAAGCATCCTCGCAGCCACACTCTGACGCCCATTCACCTCTCGCCCACGGGCTCATCCGCCCATTCCCTCCTCCACCCACCTTCTCCCTCACTCCCGTGTCCAGTGCAGTTATCCCGGAGGGTGGTCTGCTGCAAAGGGTCAGAGACAGACCCGGCCACAGCCAAACAGGGAAGTGCCCGCAGGGATGCAACCCCCTCCCCCTTGCCACCCCCCAGGCCTCCTCTTCCTCCTCTGCTCAGCCCTGCACCTCCTGTGTCTCCCACCTGCCTCGTATCTGGGCATCTTGTCCCCTGGCCGGCCTGGGAGTCCCCTGAAGGCGGGGACCATACACAGTATGTGCCCAATAAATGTGGATGACTTTAACATGGAAAATGAAAAAACAACTCCAGAGTTAAGTTGGAGGGTGTAGTATGCAGGTGACCCCACAGCCTGGGGCTTGGGTAGGGTGTACAGCACGGCCCCCTCTTGCTGGCTGGGGCACCACGGAGGCAGCTTCCCCATCCAGAGGGCGGCTAAGCCAGAAACCCAGCGGGCACCCCCTGTCAGGAAGAGGTGAGACCACTGGATGCGAGGGACACACATGGAGCCAGGAACACTAATGCTTCTGAAAGAGGAAGACATCTATCTCCCAGACAATAGCTGTGAGCCGGGCAGACGCACAGGGGGATCGGGATCCCAGGTGGGAGGGCACTGGGCAGGGCACCAGAGATGGCTTCAGGGAAAGGGGGTGTTGCGGAGAAGAGGTGAGGGCGGTGGGAGGAGCAAGTGGTCTCTGAGGACAAACCTGGACCAGTCGGTGAAGGGCCCTGAGAGACAGGAAGAGGGAGCCGTGATGGGAAGGACCGCCCACAGGGGCCAGGAGGGAACGGGGTGGGAGGACCACCTTAACTGGGCCGGCGGGGTAGGCCTCCCGGAGACGGGGGCGCCAGGTGAGCGGAGCACGGAAGGAGCCAGCCATGGGGACGGCACAGGGAGGAGTGTGTCACTGCGAGGGAGAAGCAAGGCCAAGGCCCAGGGACGGGGAGGGCGTGGTGTGTTCAAGGAGGGGAAGTGGAGGCCCGTGTGGCTGAAAGGGGGCCACCGGGCCGGAGTGGGTGGGGCGCGGCTGGAGAGGTGGGCGGGGCCTGGGGCCCGTGGGCGGGTCTGAACCGCACGTGAGCTCAGGCTGAAATTGTCAAAGGGCTTCCGTATGACCTGGTCTCACTTTTTTTCTATTTTAAATTAAACTTACTGGGGTAACATTGGCGAATAACATTACATAAATTTAGTCATCCAACCAAATGGGAGAAGATATTTGCAGATCGATAACTCCGATAAGGGGTTAATATCCCATATACATAAATAACTCATACAACTCAATGACAGAAAAACAAACTGTCTCATTAAAAAATGGGCAGAGGACCTAAACAGGCAATTCTTCAAAGAAGACTTGGGCAGACGACCAACAGATACGTGAAGGGATGCTCAGCATCACTAGCTGTAAGGGAAATGCAAACCAAAACCGCGATAAGGTACCACCTCACAGCGGCTGGGATGAGTATGATCAGTAAGACCAGAAATACGTGTGGAAGAGGATGTGAAGAAAAGGGCACCTCTCACACTTTCAAAACTCACTCAGGATGTGGAGTGAGAACCAATCATGAGACACGGTGGGAGGGGGCTCCTGTGGTTGTCCAGGCAACACGTGATGGGCACATGGACGGTGCTATGGATGTAATTGTGTCCCCTCCACCCCAACAAATTAACATATCGAAGCCCTAACCTCCAATGAGATCGCTGGAGCTGGGAGCTTGGGTAGGTAATTAGGTTCAGAGGAGGGCATGGCGGTATGGGGGGGGACCCTTTTGTTGAGATTAGTGCCTTTATAAGAGAGACACCGGAACGCTTATTCCCTCTCTCTCTCTCTCTCTCTCTCTGCCATGTAGGGCCACAGCAAGGAGGCTGCCACCTACAACCAGGAAGAGGGCTCTCACCAGGAACCAAGTCAGCCAGCACCTTGATCTTGGACTTCTGGCCTCTAGAACTGTGAGCGGTCAATTCCTGTGGTTGGAGCCAGCAGCCTATGGTGTTTCATTCCAGCAGCCTGAGCCCACTAAGACGGACGGAGCTGGTGGGGACACTGAGTGTGGAGACCCAGTGGGACTGGCTGGAGGGTGGACGTGGCAGGACAGAGAGAGAGTCCAGGGCTTGGGGCTTGAGTGACCCCATGGATGGCGGTGCCATTTCCTGAGATGGGGGCCCATGGGAAGGGCAGGTTTGGGGGCTTGCTTGTCTGACACACATCTGAGTGGAGAAGGGAGTGGGCAGCTGGACCTCAGGGGAGGCCTGCGCTGGTGACATAAACGTGGGGATAAAAGTGGACTCGGAGGCATGGGCCCTGAAAAGGGCATTCGGGAAAGATGGCGGCGGCGCTCGGCATGCTGGTACACCAGGGCAGAAACAGTGGCGACGAGGGAAAGTTCTGGGGCCCAGGCTTCTAATGGCCATGACCTCCTGCCTCTGTGCTTTCTGGGTCACAGGACGCGACCTACGTTGCTAAGGGAGCCTGCAGCTCCAGGCCCTGGTGAGGAGGGCAGAGCCAGAGGGGTGGGCACTAGATCAAGGCCACAGCGAGGCCGTGGCAGCACCCGGGAGGGCGAGGGGCCCGGGAAGCTGGGGGACAGAGCGTCTCCGCCTACCTGCCTGGTTCGTGGTGATGTTGACGACCGCGGCCCGGCGGGGCTCGGGGCTCAGGTCCGACACGCCGTTGACGGCCTCGATCCAGAAGGAGTAGTTCATGTGCGCCAGCAGGTTGGCCACCAGCAGGCTGGCCTGCACCAGGCTCGTCTGCTGGGGCACGAAGCGGGTGCCGCCCCCGCACTTCTCGCAGCGGCCCAACGCCCAGGGGCAGCGGCGGCACACGGCATTGTAGGTGATGTCGCTGCGGCCGCCCGGGTCCAGGGGAGGGGCCCACTCCAGGGTCACGGATGTCCCATTCACACTGGAGATCAGATTCACTGGTGCCGAGGGCGGCCCTGGGGAGCACAGGATGACAAGCGGGGTGGGGGGTACTTACTTGGGGTGGCCCAGTTTTCCCCACCCCACCATGGAAGGTCTCTGGCTCCCCCATGATATTTGGGGCTCCCTAAGGGTGAGGTCACCCCTACTCTGCCCTTCAGCAGCTCCCCAAGGGCGGAGGCAGTGTCTCTGACGTTGGGCCAGGACCATGGCGGCGTAGTCTGGGCACAAAAAAACAAGGCCTCCTCCTCCACTGGGCCACAGGGATCCTGGGGCTTGTGCTCCCCGATTCTCATCAGAGCCAGAGGGAGACAGCACGGCCCTGGGGGCGCCCCAAAGCCACCCGGGGTGTGAAATGCCCGGTCATTTGTGCCCTGCCCCCCACTCCTTTACCCCCTGTGCTGAAGTTCATGTCAAGGCCACTGAGCACTTGCCTAGAGCAGAGTGGAGGCCCCGGAAGCCCAGCGGGGGACCCCGGTCCGCCCCTCCCCCAAGGTGAGAGCCCCTGTCTGGGCCACACAAGGACCTTGGAGGGAGGGGTGGGGTCGGGGCAGGCCCCTGGGGGTGGGGATTTGGGCCAGGCGGGCCTGGGGTGGGGGCTGTGAAGACCCCTGGGCCTCAGAATTCCAACTCTCAGAATCCCAGCAGGGCAATCTCCGATCTTAAGAAAACAGAACTGTAGAATCTCAGAATCTTAGAGAATCTTAGAACCTGAGGGTGAGGAGTAACTAAAAGCCTGGTCTTAAGATTTCTGGAACCTGCACTGTGAAACTGGGCAGAAAGCAGAGTCCAGTCAGCGGACATCCTTTCCGCCCCGGCAGGCCCCACCCGGAGAAATGCTCGGCCTGGGCAGAGCGGTGGAGGGAGAGACAGTGTGCGCATGTGTGCACCTGCGTGGTATGAGTGCACTCGGGCCCTCGCTCGCCCTGTGCACGGACGCGGCCTGGGGCTGGGTGGTATTGGAGGCGGGGGAGGGAAAGATGGGGATCAGCTTGGGGTAAACCCCGGGGCAAAGTCGGCTAGAACCTCATGAAGTGCCCCTTGCCCCACCACAAGAGCCCAGGGCTGGCTGAGCTGGCCGTGGTCCCTCCCCAGCTGGGACGGAAGGGTGGGAGGCCCCTTCGCACTAGGGGACAGGAGGCAGTGGAGGAGCCGCATCAGCAGAAAGTCAAGACAGTCTCGCGGCCCTGTAGGCAGGACGCCTTCGGAGTCCCCTCAGGCGCCCAGGCACACACACGCACCACCACGCCTGTGCCAGATACACACTCCCTTGCAGGGCCAGAGTGCACACGCTGAGCTCACAAGGTGTGTTCCTGCAAGCTCTGCTGGGACGTAGGTGAGGAGTCCCCTACAGGCACCCAGATGTGCACACACACACGTGCACACGCCCCCAAGCATCCCTTACGTACGTGGGTTCTGGGGCCCCGGGGTGGTACTCACGGGTGCAGGCTGCCGACGGCGGGTCTAGGGCTGCGCGGTAGTAGCTGAGGTCACAGCGACAGGCCTGGGTGGCCGGAGACGCCGAGTGGCTGTGGGGAGGGCAGCGGGCACAGAGCTGGTCCCCGGGGGCTGACTTGTAGAAGCCCAGCTCACAGGCTGTGGAAGAGAGGGGGCTGCAGGTAAGCCGGCGGGTCTCGGGGACAGCTCCCGCTCTGGCCCAGGGCTTCCTGGGGGTCCCTCCGAGGGATGGAGGTGCAGACCTTCAGCAGCACCCGGTCCTGCCCACACTGGTGAGGGACGGACTCACGCACGGAGAGCGCCTGTGACTTGCACAGGGTTGCACACCCAGCTGAAGGCAGCGCTGAGGCGGGGTCCCTGACACCTGAGTGCCAGCCCGGAAGTTGAAGTCGGCACCAGGAAAAGCCCCTGCTGCAACCGCCCCTCCCCCCAGGGCCCTGTCTCCAGCCTGACCCTGTCCTTCCCAGGACACTAGCCTTGTGTGAGACACCAGCCACAGGAGCCAAGAGGCTACGAATCAAAGGGACATCCACACCCCAGGGATGTCCCTTGGGTGGGACGGGAAAATGGGACAGAGAAGGAGAGTGGGCAGAAACTGGAAACGAGACACTGGGTGGAAAGGGGCAGAAGAGTGGGTGGGGGGTGGGGTGGTATTGGGGGGAGGCGGGACATCCGGGTTTTACGAGCTCCTCCTGCAATGCTGACCATTTAGGAACTGCAGGCCCCCTGCCTCTGTCACTGCGGCCAGCACGGACTTGTCTCCTGTGCGGCCCTCTCTGCAGCCTCTGCCTCGTCCCTCATCTGGGCGACCTCAGTGGCCTCCAGCCCTGCCTGCCGATGCGGTCATCACTCCTTCCACCAGGAGGCACGGGCACCTGCCCTGCGCCGGGCACTGATCTGGGCACGGGAGACACGGTCGTGAGCACGATCCCCACAGTCCCTGCCTTCAAGGAGTGGCACTTGGGGCGGGGGGGCACGTAGTACGCAGGCTGCCACACTTCCAAGAGGGAAATAAAGAGGATGGTGGGAGGAGCAACCTCCCCCAGGAAGGAGGCAGGAGATGCTATTTGACTTGTGGCCTGAAGGACAAGGACGCATTGGCCGTGCGGGGAATGGGGATGCTCCCAGCTGAGGGACTGACTCCCTGCAATGACACCCGACGCTGGCACTGCCGGCTCAAACCCTCACGGGCTCCCGCGGCCGAGCCGGCAGCCTCCTCCAGGGCCGCCTGCCACTCCCATCCCCGGGCATAGCTAAAGGACGGGTCAGGCCTCCACCCAGCAGGTTGCTCCCTTCCTCTGGGCCTTTGCCTGGGCCGTGCCTTCTTCCCGGGATGCCTTCTCGCCTTTGTCAGCCTGCCCAGCTCTTTCAAGATACGTTTCAGCCATCTCTTCGACAAAGCCTTCTGGGGCCTCTGCACACGGCCACATGTGCGCGTGCGAGCACACACACATACTCACACAGAAGTGACCACTCCCCCCACCCCCGCTTCCGTGGTCCCTGCTCAGTCTCAGTGCCTGGAACGCTTGGGCCTACTTTCGGCCCGAGTGCCTGACGTTCCTCCCGGACCAGAGGGTCCTGGGGGCAGGCCCTGGTGAACGAGGCCCCGGGCCCGCCGTGCTCACCACAACGTGCCCTGCATCTGGCCGGGGCGCTGCCAGTGCGGGTGGGAGTTTCAAAGGGGCTAATCCCACCATTACCTGCTCCAGGCAGAGCGCCAGCCCAGGGGGTCCGGAGGCCCAAAGGCCACCCAGCCAGGCAGCTCCCAGCTCACCCGTGGACCTGGACTCCTCTGCTGCAGGGACCACCGGGGAGCTCGCGGGGGTCTCTCTCCACTAAACCCGTTCTGAAAACCTCAGGGCTTGAGAGGAGTTCCATCCGGAAAGATATCGTGTCACTTAAAAAAAAATCCTACCTCTTTATTGTAACAGCTAAAATCAGGTTAATTTGTACAACTCCACCAACTTGAGAGGAAACCTGACATCAGGAGGAGCGATGATATCCTTAAATTGCTTCGGAGACTCAGAGGCGGTGGAGCCAGAAGGGGCTTCCAGGTTAAGGAGCCACGGAAACGTGCCTCGGACTGCAGACCTCTCCCCTCCCCCTCGGGGAGCCCCGGAGAGGGCTCAGGCCTGCCTTGGGGCTAGGGCTTCTGGGACTGCGGGGGCTCCTACTCCTAAGCGACGCTCTTCAATCTCACCTCCTCCTCCTCCTCCCAGAAGTCCCCCAGGAGGCCCCGTCCAGGGCCCGGCCTCAGAGCTTCCTCCCGAGCCCAGGAAGCGGGCTTTGCACTTGGTCAGCAAATTATCTGTTGAATCTGTTGTGGAACCGAACGCCGCAGTGATCCTCACTGTAATTACCTATCTGGTCCTTGTCACCTGCACCTCTGGGACTGCTCGCTGCCTCTGCCCCTTGGTTATTCCTCCACCCACATTTACTGAGCGTCTGTGGGCCCGAGCTCAGTGGGAGCCGGTGCCCTGCACTCATGAGCGTTCAGAGGAGTGAGGGGCAGACAGGGACACAGGCGGTGACCCCCTGGTGTGACGCGAGGCACGAAGGATGCACCACGGGACAGCCTTGGTCCCCCGAGTCCCTGACCATTGGGAGCTCATCTCGGCCTCGTCGGCTAAGACCAGACCGGGGGCGGTGCAGGCTGCCTGGGCTCCTTTTCTTATCTAACCTCTTCCCCCAGGCTAAGTGACATGGGGTGTGTCTCGGGGCCTCGGTTTCCCAATCTGTACAGCGCGGGCTCCTAGGGCCGCTGTGAGGACGACACGGACGCATACATGTGAATTCACGCCCAGATGGAGACCAGCGCCTGTTATTACAATTCTGCATGGTCGGCATTGATGCAACTGTTGGGCAGAGAGAGCCCAGAGGCTCGGGGAGCTTGAGGGCTTTGCCCTGGGTGCCCCCACCGCCACCAACCCCCCACCACCCCAGAATACAACCCCAGGTCGGGGAGCCTCGGGAGCCCTCCCGGCCTTGGAGATGGCCCCGCCCCACCGTTCTGCCGCTCACTAGTGGGCGGTTCTCACACGCTCCACTGACACCCATATGGCTCGAACGTGTCAAGGCCAGATTAATCCACGCAACAAAATAAAACAATCTTTAATAAGAATACTAATCACCAGGCCTCAGGGAGCCCAGAGACCTGGAGGCAGAGCCGGGAATGAATGGCCGAGACAGATGGAGCGGCTCTGGGCTGGGGCCCGGGCCTGCCCGGCGACCCCAGGGCGCTTCCGGAGCCTGCGCGCGCCCACGTGGGCCGTGGGCCAGGCGGGGCTCGGGCCCCTGCCCCTGCCCGGGGCACCTTGCCCAGGCTGCCTGTCAGGCCGGCTGCTGCCCGAGGCCCCGGCCACCTCCCTCTCCGCCCCTGCCAAGAGCTTGAGATTTGACAAATACGGTGTCCGCCGGTGGACGACCAAAGGAAATTAATTCTAAATCAGATTTCAAACACAGTCAGGAGGCAAGAGCGCCCGATGTTCGTGCCCCTCCCCCCCACACACACACTCTGAAATGAGACTCTGATATTTATAGAAACATGATTAGGGCCGAGGAGGGTGATTTATATTCTGTGTCCAGGTGACGGGAAGGACGGCAACCGAGACTTCAGACCAGACCCGGGGCTGCTGCTCTACTGGGTGATGCGCCTCCCGCCCGGGTGCCGGGGCGGGGAGTGCGGCCAGGTGTGGGGGAGGTCACTGGGTCAGGAACCTCGTGAGGCCTGGGGAGCCTTCCGGTAGGGGAGCTGACTCAATCAGCCGCTCCTAGCTGTGTGCCCTTGGGCCAGCCCCTTCACCTCTCTGGGCCTCTGTTCCTCACCAATAAACCTGATCAGCTCCACACTCTTCCGGGCAGGGGGGCGGGCCCCACAGCCTGAGGGCAGTCTCAGTGAGGCCTCGAAAGAGCCCTGTGACCAGATAGGTCCCTTCTCCTGGGCTGCATGGTTTTCCCTGTGAAATCAAGCACTGCCCAGCCACTTCGGAAGGGCACTTTGAGGGCAAAACTTGGGAAACAGGAGTCCGGAGGCCGGGAGGGTGGCTGTCATTGTGGGCCTGGCCCCTGCTGCAGGCCTTGGAGTGGGGGACATTTGGGGCTGGGCAAGGCAGGACCCCCTCCCTAGCAAGTCCCAGCCCTTCCTCTCGTCACTGTTCGCTCTGAGAGAACCACCCAACAGAGAAGGCTAAGGCCCCCACGACCTCAGGAGGTCCCACTGAGGTTGGGCATGGGGCCCACAGCTCTGAGAGGATCCCCCCTCAAACACCCCAGGAAATACACCCCTATCTGTTCCCAGCTCCTGGTTGGCCCCCATCTCCCCACTCTCTCTCAGGCTACCCACCAAAGAGGGGGAGGACCTCGGTGTGGGGCCTGTGCTGCTTCTCCAGAGGGGGTCACAACAATCACAGAAGCCCACCAATGGGGCTGAGAAAAGTCTCTCCTCGTGCGACCTAGAAGGGGCAATCTGTCCTTAAACCTCACTGCCTGCAGTGCACTGTGAATTAGTATTTTTTATGAAACCCGTAATTATCTGGTAGCTAGCATAATTATGCTGCATTGTGATTTAGACGTAAAGCCCCAACTCCGCTGCAGGCCCCTAACCCTGCTTTGCCACCTCCTGTTCACCGTGTATCAACGTGCCGGGAAATGGGGACGGCGGCAGTGGCTTCCCCTGGCCCCGGGAGATTCCGCTGCTCAAGCCTTGGGATCGCCGCCCAGAGCCCTCCCCTGGACACACTGTGGGACCCTGGGCAAGACGCATTCCCTCTCTGGGCTCCGCTTCCCGCCTCGGTCACAGGAGGAGGCTGGCGCAGTACTCGAGTCCCCTGAGTGAGGCCACACCCTGGAGCCAGGAGGACCAGTCTCCCTCCGACAGGCAAGTGTGTCTCAGCGCACACGGGACGAGAGAGGGACTGGCCTGTGCTCGCCCGGTAAGCCAGAGCGGGGGGCGGGCGGCAGCTGACCTGGAGCAGATATCCACGGGCCGGCGAGCCCGCTACCGTCCGCACGCTGCCCAGGGAGGAGGGAAGCAGAGCTGTGTGCAGAGGGAGCAGTCAGGGCTGGGGGTGAGACAGCCTGGGGCCAGACCCTCCTCTACAACTGGCGCGGAGGGGACTCAGTGTCTCGCATCTGTATGATGGGGACATAATACTTAGCTTAGGGAACTATTGTAAGAATGAGAAACTGCGGGAACTCCCCCAAGACAGGGACACAGAAAATGCTCCACAGAACAGGCAACTGACAGGCTGTGTCAGGATCACTTGTTGAAGTGCCTGGCACATGGCAAACACTGAAAAAAGTGTTGCTAGAGGACTTTATCGTCCCCCCAGGATGAGGGGGTGTGGGGAGCCAGTTCTGGCAAGGAGAGCAGCTGGGCTGGGCCAGGGAGAGGTGAGAAGCCGACCCCTGGACAGGAGCAAGACAGACCTAGGTCCCAGCTCCACCTTTCATGAGCTGCAAGACCTCAGCAGGCAACACTACGTCCTGAGCCTCAGTGTTCCCACCCATAAAATGGAACTATAATGCCTGCCTTGTTACAACGAGCAAATGAATTGATGCAGGAGGAATCCCTTTGCAAGCTATCAAGGCAATAGGGATGAATGTTATTACTGTTACCCCACGGGGAGTGGAGAAATACAGGGATGCTTGTGATAGGGAACAGGAGAGGCTGGAGGCCGGGGGAGCCCGGCCCGCTAGGCCACAGAGGGCAGAACCAACCCAGAGACAGGCCAGTGTCACAGAAGGTGCTCTGAGGTTTATGGTCCAGAAGAGTTGCGGACTTGTAGCAGCTGGGAGTGTAAATAAATATTTCTTAAGGAAACCAGAGAGGGGCCCGAAAGGGTCTGGTAGCGGGACGGAAGATCCTGGTCCCCAAAATGACCTTGAGCGCCACCTGAAATTGTCAGCCTGTGCCCTGCAGACACCAAGGGGTCCATCCTGCCGGCCATGGGCAGAGGGATGGTGCTGAGGGGCCTGAAGTTCCCACTGGCTGCGGCCTCGGTGCCGGGCCAGCAGGGTGCACCTGGCGGCCCACAGGGCCCCGCCCCCGTCCTCACTGAGGCTGTTGTCTGGGGACGGGCCCTGGGCTCTCTGACCCCTTCACGGGCACATTGTCCTTCCCCAAGAGAACCAGCGGTCTCCACAGCAGGCTTCCCTCTGCTCTGAGTGGCTGACTTGCCATGTGTCTGCCCCCCTACCCCACCCCGGGGGAGGCCAAGGGCAGAGGGCAACAGGCCAAGACCAGTAACAGCTGGGTTAGCAGTTGTCTGTCCACAACTGCCCTCCCGGTGTCCTGGGTGCTCAGGATGCTCAGCGGCACTGCCCCCACAGGCGGCCTGCTGTCCACACATGTACACACACACGCACACACGGGGCCTGAGGTCTGGGCCTGCTGCTGGTCTCCGACGCGGGGACCCCAGCAGGACACCCATGGGAACAGATGCCGTGCCACTTCACCAGCCGGGTGCTCTCGGCTGTCCTCTCCCACAGGTCCTCGGTAAGGTCCTCCTGAGCACAGGAAGGCCGCCTCCGGTGCCCCGGTGCCACACCCGACCGAGACAGCTCTCCCCGGGTGCCCCGCCTACATGCCTCCGCAGCGGCCCCCCCGCTGCGCTCATTCACCCGGGGCCCGGTGCCACTTCTCTCCGCCCCACGGGCCAGTGGCTCAGTGGTTTTCAGCACGGACTGTTGAGTCAGACTTCTGGGTTCAACTCATAGCTCTGCCACTGCCTAGCTGTGTGACCTTGGGTAAGTCGCTTTGCCTCTCTGTGCCTCAGCCTCCTCATCTATAGAATCAGGACAGTAGTTTCCATTTCACAGGGTAGTCGTGGGGATGAAATGCGTTAGTGTGTGAAAGGCACACAGATGCCCTCCCCACAGTGCCACGAGGGCACCACGTGGCAGTAGTGTGTTTGCTCCCTGCCCACCCCCCAGCACACACAGGTGGCCTGCGTGTTTGCTGTCACAGAAACACTGGGGCTCGCCCACTCTCCCGGGCACTGTGCGCACCACCCAGATGCTTGCTGACCCCAGCGACCCCCACCCCCCGCCCTTGCAGCCCTGCCCAGACTGAGCCCATCGGCTGGCCAGCCCACCCCCGCGCGGCGCGCTCACCCACACAGGCATCCTGCCGCTCCTCGTAGCCGGCGCTGCACACGCACTTGCCGATGGGCACCAGCCACTCGCCCTCGGCACTGCAGTACATCTTGGGCGTGTCCCGCTCCTCCGAGTGCCGCACGCACTGGCCCCGCACCTCCACCAGCGAGGACGAGTCGGCCCCTGTCACCGCCTCCGAGAAGGCAGCCAGGTTGCGCACCATGGTGGGGCACTTCTTGTAGTAGATGCGCAGGGACAGGATGGCGAGGCAGGCCCCGATGTCCTGGAAGGCCAGATAGAAGCCGCGCTTGCTGAGCGGGCCCACGCCGCGCACCTCCGTGTTGAGCTTGAGGCGCCGCACGCCCAGGTCCGCACCCGTGAAGCTCTCGTCGGCTGCGATGGTGTCGATTTTGAGGAACTGGCTTTCTTGCGTGCTGGCGCCCAGGTCGCGGTCTGACTCCAGGTAGTAAAGGTTGAAGGTCTCCTTGCAGGTGCCCAGCACGCCGGGCATGCTGTTGCAGTCGCGCAGGGTGAACTTGATCTCGGCGTAGACACGCCGGGCGCCATCGCGCGGCACCCAGCTGGTGCGCAGCCAGTTGTTCTGGTTGGGGCTCATGACGTTGCACACCTGGTACGTGTGGATGGGCCGGAAGGACTCGTCCACCTCGTTGATGGAGTCCCACTGCAGGCAGAGAGAGCACAGCCAGCTGCAATGAGGGTTGGCCAGCCACCCTTGCCCCATGCTACATGCACTTGTGCTGGGAGTGTCCCAGGGAAGCGATGGTCAGCCAGGAGGGACTGGCCTTTTCTGGTGGATTGTCACAGCGGCTGGATACCAGGCACCCTGCAGATGTGGTTCGCAGGGTGCCATATCCTTCTGGGGAAGGGTTGTTTATTGCCCATTTACAGCTGAGCCAGTAGAGGCTCGGACACATGGGCCCTGCGCCTGAGGTCACATAACTAGTGAATGATGGAGCCCGGACCGGAATGGCCACCACAGCTGCAAAGCCCTGACCTCGCTTCTGTGTGACTCCTCCTTTCACTCCTGGAGTGGGGGGACTTGCTGGGGGACGTCCAGAGGAACCTTTCTAAAGCACACACCTGACCGTGTCGTGCCGCACCTCAACTCCTTCAGCAGCGCCCCCTGCACTGGCGCTAGTTCAGTGACTGACTCGGGACTCTCGCTGCCCTGCCGTTCGTGATGGTCCCCTGGCCCCCCTGACAGGGCCGGGGGCTCACGGGCTGGTCTGGGCCCCACTCAAGAGAACACTGGGGTGTGGGGAAGGGGAGTGTGCCTGCTCGGTGCCAGGTGCTGGCCAGGCATCGCTGATTCAGACATAAACCGGACCCTCTCACCAGAGGGAAACGGCCACACGCGGAATGGGAGAGAATAGGTGCGAACCATGTACCTGAGGGGGAGTTAATATCCAGAACGTATAAAGAACTCCTACAACTCAGTAACAAGAACACCAAGAGCCCTGTTTAAAAACGGGCAAAGGGCTTGAATAGGTACGCCTCCAAAGAAAATGTGCAGATGGTGAAGTAGCTCATGGAAAGATGCTCAGCGTTGCTAACCGTTAGGGAAGTTGGAGCCAAAAGCACAACGAGACGCCACTTGACACCCAAGAGCTATTATCAGGACAATGGGAACAAACAAGCGTCGGCGAGGATGTGGGGACACGGGAAGCCTCGCACGTGTACAGGCCAGCAATCCCACTTCTGGGTACACACGCAAACGCAGTGAGAGCAGGGACTCAAACAGGTATTCTGCACGTCCGCCCTCACAGTGGTCGGAAGGTGGAAACATAAGCGTCCGTTGCCGGGCGAGTGGAGAAGCGAAATGCGGTCTGTCCAGACCACCGGTAACGTGCAGCCCCGAGAGGGATGCAACCTGACACCGGCTGCAGCACGGGCGCACCCTGGTGCCGCCGCACAAAGTACAGGCAGCCAGACACGGGGGGACAAACACAGCAGCACCCCACGGGTAGGAGGTGCTCAGAGGAGTCAGACTCGCAGAGACGGGAAGCAGAGCAGTGGCTGCCAGGGAGGGGCCAGGGAGAGGGGGACAGGGACCCCCAGTGCAGTGCGGCAATGGGGACGAAGTTCAGTCTGGGAAGGCGAAGACGCCTGGCACTGGACGGTGGTGGGGGGTGGGGTCCGACACCGTGGATGAACTCGTGCCACCGAACCGCACACTTACAAATGGTTGACGAATAGTGAATTTTACGTTATGTGCATTGTACCACCCCTTGAAGAAAGAAATACAGCAGAAATAGTCCCTGCCCCCAAGCACCCCTCGCAGGGGCGGGGGAGGGGAGAGCCCTGGCGAGGCTGGACGTGCGAGCAGTGACCAGCGAGCGTCCGACAGCCCGGGTCAGACACTGGAGAGTCACGCAGAAGGGGGGGCGCTGACCTGGTGGGTGACCTTGGGTAAGTCGCTGCCCCTCTCTGGGCCCCCGTTTCCTCACCTGCAGGATGCTGGTTAGTGAGGAGCAGTCCCTGGTGGGCTGAGTTCAGCGGGTCCCTGAGGACCCCGGGGAGGGGCTGGGGACCGAGGGCAGATGGGGGAGAAGAGCTCAGGGTCCCCGTCCCAGAGACGCCATGGATCGTCTCTCCTGGACCTTCGTGTGCACTTGTCCTTGGACTAGAGCTTCCATTACGTAAGAGGGGTGGGGAGGAGGTGAGGACCACCCCTCGGGAAGTGAGTCGGACAGAGGAGGGTGGTAGCCGTGTGGTTTCACTGACGAGTAGATGCGACGTCTAAAGAACAGTATGAACAAACGAACAAACCAGGAACAGACTCACAGGTGCCGAGAACGGACTGAGGGTCTCCAGATGGGAGTGGGGGGCTAGACGAACAGGTGAAGCCATTAAGAAGTACAATTGGCGGCCCAAGCAGTCACGGCAGGTAGGGCCCGGCACAGGGAAGACAGTCAATAACATTGTGATAACTGTGTGCAGTGCCAGGTGGGTTCCGGACTTACAGGGGGAACACTTCGTGCACTGTATGAATGTCTAACCACTGTGTGGCACACCCAAAACTAATATAAAACAATATCAGATGTCAACTGTAATAGAAAAAAATGAGAAAAAGAACTAGAGGCAGAGGTACAAGGTAAAACAAAACCACCACTCCTCCCGGAGCCCTGAGACTCCGCGGGGCTCCGAGCTGCTCCACAAGGGCTCGGACCAGGACCGCGGGCACCCCGGGTCCTTCCTGCCCGAGAAAGCCCCTCTGCTGCACCGCCCGTGGCCGGCTGTGTGGACCTGACCCTCAGCACCCGCACCCGTGGAATGCAGCGCAGACAGGCCCACCTCAGAGAGCCCTCGGAGGGTACAGAAAAGCCTGCAAAGTGCTTGGCTTGGGCCTGGCACAGGAAGGCACCCGAGGAATGGGGCCGCTGTGATTGATGTGATGCTGAGCGAGCAGCATCTTCCCAGCCCACCTGTGTCTGCCTCTGGGGACCACCTGCCCTGAGAAGCCCAGGGTGTGCCGGCCTCCCCTGAAAGCAGTCGTGTTTCCTGCAACCCCCACCTACCCCGAGAGGACCCCTGGCCTGTCCCCCACACTGCGGCTGGGGCCTCCGGGCGGTGCGGCATCACATCTGGGGTTAAAGTCACTGTCACAATTAATGGAGCACCAAAGAGCCAACCAGCTGCTCCTTGTCTGTTTCCTGCCGGGGACCGGGATAAATTAATCAGCTCTGTGCCAGTCCGCTCCAGCTGCCCCGCCAATGCCGACGGCCTGACCCGGCCCCGCCAGCCCCGGGGCTGCTGCGGACGCCCAGAGGGGCACGGACTCCTGGAGGCTGGCACAAAGGTGGAGTCAGCCCTGCTCTCCGCCTGGGGCCCCCCATCCTGTGCAGGGGGCCTCTCCAGCCCCCACTCCTCCCCGCTCTCCAGCACTGCTCTGGAACGCTCTCTTCTTCCAGGAACAGAATGCAGGGAACCAGCTGTGCAGCCCTGGGAGTTCGACACCCGCTCTCTGAGCCCCCGGGTTGCTAAAGCCTGCCCATGGCGTCTACCCCAGGGGGTGGTGAGGATCAGGTGAGACAATGGAAAAAAATGTGTCCTCTCTTCAAAGGCAGCGGTCAATGCGGGAGGTGAAGCCCACCCAGTGTGTGCAGGGAGGGGCGCAAAGGCAGGGGCACAGTCCAGTTAAAGGCATGGGCTCCGAGGCCAGACTTCCCCCGGCCTCAGCGGAGATGCTCGGCCTCTCAGAGCCTCTGGTTTCTTCCCAGGAAACGGTCCTTTTCACGCGTGTCTCATAGTGACAACTGCACGGAGCCGGTTGTTACCGTCCCCACGTTACAACTGAGGAGGCTGAGAGGAGGTAAGGGATTTGCCTCAGTCACGCTGACGACAGGGGGCAGAGCCTCAGTTCGCCCAGACCCAGCACCTTGGCCTTCAGGCTGCGTGGCCTGCCTGATCATCCGGTAACTTCGCTGATGCCAGTACCCCGGGTGTTTCACAGACTCCAGGACCCGACAGGTGGAAGGAACCTCAAGGACAATCTCCGAAGGCTCCCCATCCAGATGGGCAGGAGAATCACCTGGGAGTTTATTCACCCAAAGATCCTAGGCTCCTCCCCGGACGCCCTGGGGGTCCGCATCTGCATATTTCACCCGGGAGCCCAGCACCAGTTCCAGGTCTAGAGCCTGGGAACCAGGGTCTCATCCAGCCTTCTGTGCCTGGGCGATCCCCACAGAGATGGAAGGTGGCCCCCGGCTCAGAGGACAGCGCAGCGCTGCCACCCGGCCCTCACAATGAGGACGGAGACCAGAGAGGGCGGGAGGGACTCAACTCGGGCTCCAGGCTCAGAGGTACTGGGTTCAGGCCATCCCTGGAACCTGCCAGACGGTGAGCAGGTTTCCTCCCACTGCTCTGAGCCACGGCTTCCTCATCAGTAAAATGGGGCGGCTGCACCCGCTTGCCGCAGCACTGCTAGTGGGGATTAAATGAGATAACATCTGTGAATTGGCTAAGAGCTGTGTGAATATAAGATATTGTTTGTTCTAACTCCCAAATGAAATGAGATAGCTCTGAGCCATGTTTCATAGCGCCCTGCAAACAAAAGAATCAGCAGCGTGATTGTGCAAAACACCAGTGAGGGCATGTGCCTCGCCTGCTTAAAACCCTCACCACTCTGTGACTCTAAACACCAAGTCCTAAGATACGGAGCAGCTCACAGGGACAGAGACACCCAGGGCCAACCGGGGCCAGGCCCCTCCTTCCTAGTCGCGCAGGGTGGCAGGGCCGAGGCCGACCCAGCCACCAGCCAGGCAGTCACCTCCTCGGGGTCTGCCCCCTGCCACCGGCAGGGCCGGAACCCTTTCCACCCACTCTCATCCCCGGGAGACAGTGGCCGGGGCCCACACGAAGAGCACTTCGCAGGAGAGACTAGGGCCCAGGGAGGTCAAGGGACACCCCAGGGACCCAGCCCTGGTCTCGGGGCAGGGCTCACCTGCCCAGCCAGAGGAAGGGATCCCTGCTGGCTCTCGGGCCCGGAGCCTGCCCCTCCAGCTCGCTGACGCCTGGTGTACAAGGGCTGGTGCCAGTAAGAGGACTCAGCTCGCTGCTGCCTGGGGCCACCCCAGCGAAAGGGCCAGGGCTTTGCCTGACCTCGGCCACAGGCCACAGGCCACAGGTGGCCTGGATGAAAGCCCCGTCCCAAAGTAAAGAAACATTCCACGAATGTGCACGCTTGGTGCCATTGTCCCTGTTACTATTACTAATATTACCATCCCTCTGTCCCCAGAGCCACAGAAGCCGAAGTGTTTGTGGAAGAATTTGTGTGTCTCTAATGGCAGGGGTGTGTGTGTGGGGGGGTGTGTGTGTCCCTGAGCATACTTGTAGGAGGGAATCTGCGTGAGGTAGAACCGTGACATACACTAATGACGAAGACGATGACGACGATGCACCGAGTGAAGGCTCACCGGGTGCCAGGCACAGGGCCAGGACCGAGTGCCATCTCCCCTCACGCTCGCAGCAAACCCCACGAGGCTTTCACGTGCGCGCCCCTTCCTGCAGACGGGAGAGTGAGACTGTGGGGGGGGTGGCGGGGAGTGAAGTGGTGACCCGGGGCCACCCAGCCTGTGGACGGCAGCAGAGCCAGGACCCCGCCAGGCCCATGGGCTGGCTCTGGCCTCGCTGCCCCGCCTCCTGGGATTTGGGTAAGAGAAGTGGAGGACGCAAACCATGCAGCCTTGCCCCTGGAGTTGCTGTGACCACTCCCCGGGTGGGAGGGGTGTCTCCCATGACCCACAGGGACCTGATGGGCTGAGCCCAGAACCCTGGTTACCATGGAGGCCAGCTGGGCTGAGGGCTGGGCCACCGGGGGATGGGGACTGGCAATGCCACCCAGACGGTTCTGATGGCAACTCGAAGTAAGCGGGGTTCCGGGGATCCTGTCAGGGCTGTTGTGAGGGAAGGGACCAACCCTGAAGCAGTGAGAGACACGATGGCCCTGTTTGACACGCATCTTAGGCTGTCCTGGGCCCAGTCACGGGGCATCGTGACTCCGTGGGCCCAGGACACAGACACAGAATCCCACAGCCAGGGCCTCGGACACCAAGGGTCCGTTGCCCAGCCCCGGAGCTGGTTCTATAATCTCAAGGCTCTGCGTGCACCGCACCGTTAAGAAACCAGCAGCTCCAGCTCCAATCACTGTGCGCACCGTGTGCCTTGGGTAAGTCCTGTGGTGTCTCTGGGCCTCTGCTCCTCCCTGATCTACGTGGTGAGACTCTGAGTCGCAGCCTGTCTCCGCTCACAGAGGGAGGAATCGAGCCGCACAGCCCCTCTCTTACCCCGTGAGCCGGATATGTGAGCCAGCCCCAGTCCCCGTGGATGGTGGACGTGTCCAGCAAGTTCACTGCAAAACAGGAGACAAGAGCACGTCAGACCGCTGGGGCCGCCTTCCCCAGTCCCCCCAGAGCTGCCTGGCCCGGCCACACTGGCCAGCGCTCCGCCCCCACACGCCAGCCCCCTGTCCCCATGTGCTCGCCGACTCGCCCTGTCCATCCAGGCCCAGCTCACGCTCTCTCTCTTCCCTGGAGCCTTCCCCTACCACCTCGGCCACAGCGCGACCCCCTGAACTCCCAGAACAGAAGCCGCCCGAGTGCCGGGCTGCCCGCTTGGTGCAGCAGTGGGGTGGCTGAGACGGGCTCCGGAGCTGTGTGTCCCTGAGCAAGTCCCTGCCCCTCCCTGAGCCTCCGCCTCCTCCTCGTGCAAGGGGGGTGGCGGTGGTTTCTGACTCCCAGGGGCTGCGAGGCTGGCTCGGCCCTCGCCCTTCCCGGGGCGTGCTGGCATTCAAAGTTACCACCGACTAGTAGGTCCTCCACGCACCTTTGATGTGGAGCGACTGAGGGGAGCGGAGCTACCGCTCGGTGAGCACCTACTGTGTGGTCATTCTTGTCTCCACTTTATGGATGAACACACAGAGCCTCGGGGGAGTTCAAGAGTGTGCCCGGGGCACCCCAAGTGTCGCGAGCAGGGCGGGCGTTCAGCACCCCAGCTGTGGCAACCGACCGCAGTCAATGCCGCCAGCCTGGCAGGCTGGGCCCACAGTGGGGACGGTGGGGACGGTGGGGAAGGCGTGCTGGTCGGAAAGCGAGTCTATTTTTAAGCCAGACCCTCAGGGTAGGGAAAAGAGCCCATAAGCTGAGTCAGACACCTCTGGGCTCACATCGGAACCCATCCAGGAGGTGCTCATTTCCTCGCCTGTGAAATGGGGACAACAGTATCGCAGGGTGGGTGCGGGTCAACTACAGCGCCTGGGGTCAATGCCTCGCCGAAGCCAGTTCCCTGTCCCCAAGTCCTGCCCCTCCTGCCTCTCCCTAAACTGCTAAGAAATCAGGGCTTGACTCCCAGTTGCACCTCTCCCTGCTGTGTGTCCTTGGGTAAGCCCCTGCACCTCTCTGGGCCCCTGCCTCCTTTGTGCTCCCTGGTGATAGCTGTCCGAGAGGGCTTTTGGTTCCACAGTCCGGGGCTTTCCATTTCTCTCCCTCCCGTGCACCCCTTCTCCCAGCCAGCAGCCATGGGTTTCCAACTAACCCCACGGGCAGGCTCAGACAGGTCACAGAGGGTTAAAGCCGGGACCCTCTGGAACTCTCCCAAAGGAGGGCTGGGGGTTCTCCACCTGAGATTTGCATAGCTCCATGCCTGCCCCTCCAAGATGGAGACAAGTGTCCTTGGGAATGTGGGAGTGAGGATGCTCTTGTTCGCTGATTTTCTTCCTTTCGCCCTCCCCACCCCGTGGTGGGGGGTGCAGGGGAGGCTGGCTGGAGAGAGGGCTTGCAGAATCCGGGAGGGTCCTCTGGGCTCCTCCGGGGGTCCCCAGAGGCCAGGCAGGACCAGGAGATGGAGCCAAAGTCGCAGAGGGAGCTCCCCTCCGGGAGCCGGCCCCACGCCAGGGCCAGGGGCACGGGCACAGAAGCCCTCCCGCCTCCCTCCCTCCCTCTCCGGTGATGGGAAGGAAACTGGGTCAGCCAGCTCTCTCCCGCTGCCGGGTGGGAGGGAGAGGGGGCCGCACTGCAGCTTCCCCCAGACCAGCCGGGCCTGGTTTGGGGAGACGGCGAGGAAGGAGGCCTGCGGGCCCCCCCACCCTCACCCCCGTCCCGGGTTGGGTCTCAGCGTGGGAGGGCCCTTCTCCGTGCAGCCCAGAACTGCCCCCATGCAGGGGGCATCTGAATGAATGTCCCCCGCTTGGACTCCTCCCCCGAACACACGGACTCCAGGGGCAGCCGCCCACCCTGCAAACCCCCTTCCCAGGCCCTGCCCTCCCCTGGGAAGCCCCACCCCATCTGCAGCAGATTCTCCGTCAGCCAGCCGGGGGACACAGATAATCCACAGATAAGTCAAAAGTCGATGCTATCGGATTCAGGAAGAGCCACAGGATTCCGGGGCTGCTTGCTCTAATTTCTTCCAGACCCTTCTCTCCCCCTCCCCTCCCCTCTCCTCCCTCTGTCCTCCTCTTCCCTAGGTCATGTCCCCTCCTGTCTGGGGGACACAGAAGACTTTCCCTTTCCCGGGCAGCTCCAGGCCCGCTGGAGGTTTCATCCGGGCTGGAGAGAATTCCAGCCCTCAGCCCACCTGGCCGGGGCCCGAGTCCCCAAGGAAGTTCACGCCCTTCTGGTCACTGGGGCCGGGCTCTCTCCTGCCACTCGTGCTGCCGGACTGAGGGTCCGTGTGACGTCTGTGACGTCAATTCCCTCCTCTGGGCCTGTCTCCCCATTTGCAGATGTAAGGGGTGGACCGGATGGTCTCTTAGGGCCTTCGGTGAAAGCAAATTACTTAACCCCTCTGTGCCTCAGTTTCCTCACCTGCAGGATATGCATGGGCACCCTCCCTCTGGGGCCGCACCCCCCCACCCCGGCCGTTCTGGGGGATCAAGCGGACCCATCTCCCGCCCTGAGAGGCAGGGGCAGTTCCGGAGCCTCTCCTGTTCGACTGTGGAAGGCATTATGTGATTTCTTTTTTTCTCCAGCACCGTCACCTTCCCCCATTCCATTTCGCTGAGACTAATACTTAAATTGATTTACATTCCCTGAGGACACGGTGCATGATGGTGAGGCTGGAGAACTCGGGGTGGCCAGGGATGTCAGCCGGGACGCGGACGCCTCCGAGACCACCCGAAGTGGTGGGTCGTCCCCGCCGCGGGGTGACAAAGGGCTGCCAGCCGGTGTCTCTGCCAGTGCGGGGCTCACCCCTTGCCCAGGGGGGGACCTGGCGTGGGGGCACTTGACCAGCCTGGGGCACTGTCACTTTTGGGACCCCAGCTGGGGACGGAGCCCCCTCCTCAAGGTCCAGCATCTTCCCGGCTCATCCTGGTTCTTCACCAGCTTGGCTGGGAGGGACTCCTTCCTGGTTGTCCCACTCAAAACCCACTCCCGAGGTCTCCACGCGAGGCTCCCCGACCCTGCTGTGGGCACCCTGCTGCGCTGACCACACAGGCACGGACCACGCGCCCCTCCCCCCTCCCTCTCTGACTTCCCTGTCTCCCTCTCTGCATGGGTCTCACCTCATACCCAGCCGCTCCTTCCTCCTCCCGGGACAGCGGACCCGACACATCCTCTCTCTCAGGCCTGAGGCCTCTCCTGTCCAAAGCCCCCTCCCCAAGGGGCTGGGCATTTGCCAGCCCGGGGGGCTGCCGGCTCCTCCTCGAGGAGAGAGTTGAATCAAGGAATTGGGAGCGCACCACCCAACGCCCAGGGCCTTGATGTGGGTCCCCTCAGAGTCCTGCCCAGTGGTGAAGAGGCTGCCTGCTTTCTGGCACCCGCCCCTGGGAGAGCTGCTTCTCAGATCACAGCTCTCCTGGCCCCAGCCAGCCGGGCTGTTCAGCCCCCTGCCACGGTTCCTGCTCCCTGTTTGACCCATGCCCCGGAGACTCTGCGTTTCCCTGTGTCAGTCTGCATTCACCTATGCACACCCATTTCCATGGGCACGAATACAAGTTTGAGGGCCTTCTTGTGCGTGTGTGGTGCCTGCCCACGAATGTGCATATTTTCAAGTGTACGCCTCTGTACATGTATGTGTGTGCGTGCATGTACTGCCTGCATTTCTGTGCTTCTGACAGTGGGCGGAGGGGCTGCCCATGCATGTGAGTCTCTATAGGCCTGGGTCTATGTGTGCAAATCCTGCTGTGTGTGTGTGTGTGTGTGTGTGTGTGTGTGTGCGCGTGTGATCGAGGATACCGATGGATCTCTGTGAGCTGTGTGTGTGTGGGGTGGGGTGGGGTGGGCCTGTGGTGTATCTGAATGTGCGTGACAAACACTGTTTCTGAAGCTCCCTCGAATCTGGAAGTTCGTTCTGCCAGGGTGAGACCAGCTCTGGACTCTGGACACCGGCCAGGAGCCAGCACAGTGCACCAGGTCCAGCTTCCTCTGGGCAGCAGATGAGGTCCAGGATGGGGGCAGCATCCTGTGTGTGTGTGTGGATGTGAGTGAGGTCCTGCCTAGGTGCTGGGGGAGCCTGATGGATGTCCCCTCCCAGCTTGCCTTGTCCCCTGCCATCACCAGGAGGTCATCCACCAGACCTTTTGGCTCAGTTCACAACCCAGCCTCCTTCCCTTCTGTCCCCGAGTGACTGGACTGGCCCAGTCTTGCCTCTGGACAAGACCCTGATCTCCCCAGCCTTGCTCAGCTCACTTCGTCCCCTAACCCCTCAGGCATCTCCTCACTGGCCCTTCCTCCCAAGGCCACCCCTCCCTGCCCACCAAAGCTGCCTCCCTACCAGCCAACACGCCCCAGCTGCTGCCCCTCCTTCCCCCTCAGTCCTCCAGCCCTGCACCCCAGCCCGGCCAAGGCTCATTCCCTGCCCCTCATTTCCGTCTTCCCCCAAACCCTGTCCTGTCCTCTCTGGGCCTCGTTGCTCAGATATTGGTCCCCATTTCTCAATGCGTCCCCTGCCCCCCCTTTCCTTCAGCTCTCTGAATCTCATCCTGCATCTTTGTGTCCCTCTGTCACGCTGTTCTCGGTCCCCACCCCGTCCCCTGTGTTCCCGGTCCCCTCTCTCCTCTACACCTCTTCTCCCGCCTGCTGTCTCCCATCCTGTCTCTGGCCCCAGTGTCCGGTCTTCCGTTCTCCGTCCCCAGCTCCTACCCCTCAGCCCTGTCCCCCAGTACCCCGTGCCTCTCTCCCTCACCCCCTAGTCTTGTCCCCTTCTCCATCCCTCTGTCCCTTGACCCCCGGTATCCCCGCGGTGCAACCCCTGTTCCCCCACGCCCAAGCATCCAGCCCCGCTGGTGCTCAAGATCCAGGGAAAGGAAGTTGAGCCTCGGGCAGCGCGCGCCGCGCCCCCGGTCCCTCGGCCGCCCCCGCCCCGCAGCCGCCGCTCACCTTCGCCGCGCGCCGCGGACACGCTGGTGGCTGCCGCCGCCACGGCAGTGACGACCCAGAGCGCCGGGTGCAGGCGGCCCCGGGCGGGGGCCATGGCCGGGAGGGCGGGGGTGCCGCTCACCCTCGGGCTCGGCCGCGGCCGCCCGCGCGTCGGCGCGCTCCCTGGCTCTCCCGCACACCAAGCGGCCGGGCGCACACACCGGCGCACACGCCGGCTCACGGCGTACACGCGGGCACCCGCGCCCGCCGCCGCCGCCGCCGCTGCCACCGCCGCCCCGGGCGGGGGCCGGCCCGTCACGGCGCCGAGCCAATCAGCACCGAGGCCAGGGGGTGGGAGGCACGCAGCCTGCAGGGCTGACACTGGGCCGGCGGACTCCACCAGTGCACGTGCGCACGCTTGCACTCGCCCGCCCGCACCTTCAGAGGTGGCGCGCTCTCTGCGCCCCATGTTCGCACGTGGACTCAGAGCCAGCGCGCCCGGAGCCACAGGACGACCCCCCCCACACACACACACACCAGGACTCGCAGACGCACCGGGAGAAGTCCCCGCGTGCACACACAAGGGCGACATCCATCTGCACACTCACTTCCACATGGCTCAGACTCATCCCCCCACACAAAGTGCCTCGCACGGTGACACACTCGGATGCACACACACTAGTTCAGGAACAGAGGCTCAGAGACCCACTTACAGACAAACTTTTAGGTAACAGCTCTCTCCCCTCCCCCACCCTTGTGACCGGGCATGAGGGGGCCACCCTGGTCTGACCGTGGTCCCAGAGCACAAGCTCTGGGACCAGACAGACAAGGTGAAATCCGGACTCTGTGGCCTTGGGCAAGTTTCCTAACCTGTCTGAGCCTCAACTTCCTTGTCTGTAAAACAAGGACAATAGTACTGATGTCCCGGGGCTGTGATGACAATTACACCCAAGGACTCAGGTAGGGCGCCCCTCCCACTGCTGGGCGTGCAGCCAGGTGGCTGGTAATGGCAGCTGTTCCTGGATGACGGCGATTAACACTTCCTGCTTTTACCTGCCTTGAAAGCTGTGGGGGGAGGGCAGGGACTGGGGGATCCCACCAGTTGGGGACCCTGGTGGCCCACATTGTCCCGCAAGGAGGTAACAGGTCTCCAGCTCCCAGGAGCTGGCCCTCAGGTGCGAGCGGCCCGCTGGGGCCGAGTCCTCACCCTGCCGGGCACAGACGCTCGCTCAGGGCCCTCTGATGGCACTCCCAGCCGCCGTGCTCCCGGGGCAGGGTGGGGCCGTGGTGGGGGTTCCGTAGCACGGTGAAGGCTATGTGGGGAGCTTGCACCTCGGGCCAGACCCTACTTTAGGAGCTCCACAGACGTGCTCTACTTCAAGCGTCACGCAGCCCCGTGGGGAGTGCAGCTAAAGAAACAGAAGTGCGGCAAGGCCATCGTCTGCCAGATCAGACAGCGGGTCGGGTGCTGGAGAGGGGCTCGGGCCCAGGACCACCGGCTCTAAAGCTCACTCTCCCCTGTGCGTCTGCGTCACAGGACGGGGGGACAGCCCAGACCAGCAGCCCTCTGCCAAGAGCTCCGGTCGGCGGCCTCAAAGACACAGCCAGCCCCGTCAGCAGAGGCGCTCAGGTGGACACTGGGGAGAGGCTGTCCGGGTTGCTGTGGAGGGCAGGGGATACGGGCATCGGGTTGGACTAGACCAGAGGGGCAAACACGAACGGCCGCAGGAGAAGGACAGGACCCTAGTGGACCCTGCCAGGAAAGCATTCCCAGCTCCAGCCAACCTTGCCACGGGCACGGGCACGCGAGCCCAGTTTTCTGCGTTTTCAGGAGAGGTTGTGTATCTGGACTTTCTATGTGGTGTCTGTTAACATTTAAAGTTGGCGGATAACGCAAACTGGGCAACAACACTACAGGGTGGGCAAACCCGCGGGTTGGAGTGGCCTCGGCCCACAGGACTCCAGACTGTCCTTCAGGTGTCCTCAGAGGGAAGAGGCCACGGCTGGCACCTCACTCCTGGGGCTTTGGGGGCACGCGAAAGGCAGGGCAGAAAAACGCAGAGTCAGGACGCAATCACGAGCAATCGTGGGCAACCCCTGCCCCGGCCAGGGCTCCCAGAAATATGTGTTGGAGGGGAAGGCCTTTGCGGGGGCTGGGGTTCTGTATCCCTAGGTAGAGGTGGAGCCGACCACACCTGGGTTTCGCCCATTGTGCAGGTGAGGACACCATGCAGGGTGCCACTTTGGTAAAAGAGGTGGTTCCGACAGGAGAGGTGGGTGTGTGTGAGTGTGCGGGATGGGGGCGGTGGGCAGTGGTGAAGTCCACTTGTCCATGAGCCACCCTGATGGTGCTCGGACCCCCGCACTGTCCGAAGCTGCCCCACTAAGCTAGTCTCAGCAGAACCCAGGCGCCTCCAGGGAAAGCCCCGGCCCCAGCCTCTCCCCCTCTCTACTTGGCCTGCTCTGTGAGGGGACTAGAGGGCAGGGCAGCCCCCACGTTTGCATAGAAACCTCCCCTTCTTTTCCAGCTGGGCGATGGAGCCACTGGAGGTCTTTGCAAGAGCCAGGCTCCCAGCACAAGGCCCACGTGGCTTCCTGGACGGGGGCCCCATTTCCCCTCTGCAGAGGGCCCCTCTGCCTGCTTCCCCGAGTTCTAAGCGGCAGGAAAGGAGCGTGGGGCTGGCACTCCCCTGGGCCGGCACTGGGGTTCCCAGGTAGTCAGATATGGCCCTGCCCAAGAAGCCTTCCAGGCTGGAGGGGAGGCGGCCCCAGAAACGAGCACGGAAGTAGCTTATGTCACATGGGAGAGACTCCCCCGGACCGGAGGGACATGTGAAAACCGTGCACATCACCACCAGCGCCAGGCAGGGCCGGAGCACCTACGGCAGCCCTGCCAGTCAGAAATGCCGTGCGTGCCACATAGAAAAGTCAGGTTTTTTACTCATAGCCACATTGTAAAAAGCAGAAATAGGTGACATTAAATGGAATAATATAGTTGCTGAGTGGCTGTTGCTTGGTATGTGAGATTAATTTGTTAATCAATTCACTCACTCAACAACCCCACATCGAGCCCCCCTGTGGCGCGGCACCAGGTGCAGGACGAGAAGGTGGGCCCCAAGGGCGCAGTCCCGGCCTCGCTCCAGTCTGCCTGCCGGGAGGCAGGCCGTTCCACGGGCAGTGAGGAGGCCCCTTCCCCATAAGGGAACATTTCAGGGACTGTAAGCACCAAAACTTAAAGTAAAAATTACAATTTAAAATAATCTTTCAATGTCAAGTTCTCTGTAAGCAGAAAATACCAAACAAAATTTAGCTCCTGGAGTTGTCCCCGTGAACAAAGAACCGTTGCATCTGGGTGTGGGAAAGCTCCTAGTGCTGAGTGGTTTGTCCCGAACCGCTGCTGACGGGACAGCATGAGACAGAGGTGCCTTCGGGGCCGTGGAGGTGGGTGGGCCTATCCGCCCTTGTCCTCTCGAGGACCTGGTTCTCTGCGTTCGTAGTGTCTCCGGGTCTGTCCTCACTCTGAAGCTGCCAGCTGCCGCCTCTCCACTGTGGGGCTCCTGCCTCTGACAGCCTCTGGCTGCCTCCCAAGGTGCGGCTTCCACTCTCGGGTGGACTGAGAAGCCCTGCACGCTTATTCGAGTTGCGGGTAGGGTAAGAGTGGGTGGGTTCTGAGTGAGGAGCGTCCCCAGGAGTCAGGAAGGGGAGTCTAGTGCCAATGACCGTGGCTGCTCAGAGGTCTCCTCCGCTTATTCCTGGCTGGTCTCGGGATATTAGTTCTCAGGTTGGAGGGTAAGTGAGGTGTTGTTATAAATACATAAGAAGCTTATTAATGGTCAGGCACGCACAGGCTAATTGTGTCCTCCTGTTTACACAGAATCAATCGCTTCCCCGGTTTGGAACCATGGCAAGTGGCAGAGCGGACGGGAAGTACGACGAGATGCCGCGGGCCTCACAGGTCTGGCTGCCGCGCCGTCACTTGTGCTCACGTCTTTTCTGTCCTGAATTAAACTAGCCCTCCCTCAGATCCTCATCCCCTCGCCTACTGCCCTCTCCCTCTCTCCTCCCGTCTCAGCAGGCTTCTTGAAGACGTCCGTCCTCATGGACATCTTTCTCTCTCGATCTCCCCTCTTCCATTACCGCCTCTACGGTCCCTGACGCACCACCCGCCCCAGACCCCACCCCGCGACTCTCTGTCCCAGGCCTCGTCCTCCTCTGGCGCCGCCCTCCACCCAGCCATGCAAGCCAGGAACCTGAACTTTGTCTCTGTCCCTCTGTCTCCCTCTCCTTCAGCTGTGTGTCTAGCACATCCCAAGTCCTCGGATTTTACCACCAAACCACATCCTACATGCAGCCGCTCCGTGCCTCTGCCACCGGGCTGGTCTGAGTCCCTGTCGGCTCTCACTGGGGCACCTGCGCTGGCCACGCCACTGGCCTCCTGCACACTCGGGCCCCTGGGTCACACAGCACGCTGCAGCCAGAAAGCCCATTCAGTGCCAAGGCTCGTGGTCCGCTCTTGTCCGTGCCCTCCCCTCCTGATTTCCAGACCCCTCCGCTCTTCTCTCGAGATGAAGATCCAAAGCCTTATCAAGCTGCAAGTCCCTGCCCCAGTGGTCCACACCCTCGCCAGTCACCACCTCCCCGCTCTCTGCACCCTGGGCTCAGTGTGGGCTCACCTGCCTGCACCCGTGTGATGACCCGACCCACACATGGATCCCGCCGTCCTGAGAGAGCACGGACGGCCTCTGCCCTGGCTGGCACCATGTCTTCAGCACCTACGCACGGGCGGCCCTCCGCGTGAGGACTTCTGCCTCCGCCCGGGCTCCCTCTGAGTCCTGGCCCAGACCTGGCAGCGGGGCTAGATTCTCTCGGCCACAGCCTGCCTGCGAGACTCCAGACACACCTCGTTACCTGTCTGGGATGCCGACCAGCGTGCGGGAAGGCTCTCAACATCTAGGGCAATATGACAGAATGCCCACTGTTCTTATTAATCTTCCTAACAGCCTTTTGAGGTAAGTTCTGTTATTATCCACACTTCATAAATGAGGGGATCAGATGTGGTGACCTAGTTTGTCCCAGATGCCACAGCTACTAAAGTGGCCTGTCTGGGAGTCATGCTCAGGTCCGTGGCTCCAGAGCCCCCGTGGCGGCTGGGAGTGGGGAGCGAGCTAAGGGCTCGGAAGAGTGGGAA